ACCAAAGTATTATGTGTTACTCAACTTTCTTATTTTCTAACTGAAAAGGAAATACCTCATATGAAAAGTGTCATTGTCTGTCATTCTATCCATAACAGAAAAAGTTTACCATCTGCTAAATGGCTGTGTGAAACTGAAACTATATCATTATTTCTCTTTACAGTTATTCATGGTATAATATGCATGAATCTGTTTTTTTCCATTGTAAATGCTACATGTCCCTATGACTCCAGCCACGCCAGGGAATCTACAAAGATTGCTGTGTGAACCATAAACATTCGTAACCCAAGGGCTTCACCCTCAAACCTGCACCCAACAGCTGAGGAGTATACTCTAGTTTTTCTTTTTGACAGTGTCATTAGATTTCCCATATCTTAGTGCTCTCATTATGTAAGTGGATACCAAATCATTACATATTGTGCAACTTTCTTATTAACAAAGGAAATGCTATAGATGAAATGTTTCTTATATTCATCCTTCTATCCAAATGACTGTGTGAAACTGAAATACCCTTTTTTTCTTGTAATTACATTGGCTATGTTTTGTCAAAATCAACAAACATTCTCTGATCTCTAGTAGAGGACCCACAATCTGAACTACTATTGGCTTCATATTAAGAAATCACCTCAGTCTCTGTGCCTTAGGTGCTCCAACAAAGACCGGCAGACATCTAATGCATGGCTTTTGCCAAAATAGAGCAATGGTTCCCAGCCTTTTTACACTCGCAAACTTCCAGTACCTCCCCAACATCAGCTATTCCATTTGTTATTTTTCTAACTATATATATTTAGGCAGAGAAAGAAAATAAATAAAATAATTCACAAAACTTTATTTAGCTAAAGTTAGTACAATATTCCTTGAAGACATAGTTTTATAGTATATTCTTAACCCATTGCCGCTGGGGAAAATTAACAAAAAATGGGGGAAATTCTGTACTTATTTTTTATATTTTTGTGAAATATCTCTGTACATAGATGGCTCTGCTAGTCCTGATTTCACCTTTCCTTGAATTGGCGGGGAAAAATATATTCTTACTAGTGCTATAAATATAGATGGTTTTATTTTTAACAGCAAATTAGGATAACGTTAAATATTTTCGTAAATCGATGAAAAGGGTGAACGGGCGAGACAGGCAGTACTCATAATTGGCTCACTGTACTTAGCACAAGTGTAGCTATCTATGTGTAAAAACAATTCAAGAAGTCGACTCACAGTGGGCATGGCCATCCCCGGCAGCAATGGGTTAATATAAAATTTGAGAAACTTAACAAATGCAGTACAGTTTTAGTGCATGCTAATCAGACTTTCACAGTTGAAAAAGTAAATGAAATTGACAGATTGATGGAATATAAAAAGCTCTTTTGACTTTTACCCTTCATTGGTAAACAGTCAACTGACACTTTTTTGTTTAAACTTAAACCGGTTCAGATTTAATCCTGCGAGAATATAGAGGATGATTGTTGACCTTAATGCTATAATGCCATGAGGCACACAAGTTCACCATATGAGTTCATTATAAAGTGATTGTCACAATTCCATGTCCTCTGGCATGTCTTGGTTCTGTCCAAAAGGACAGTCTAAAGAGAACTGTAGATTTTGTTGCAGAAGTAGAAGGGGGATGATATCAGTAACCCTTTACTGTTGGATATAAGTAAACCTGTCTACTCCCCACAGTCACATTTGTGACATTCGCAGAGAGTGGCTGTCCAATGCTCCTCAATCCACCACCTCTCGTCCCAAATCTGTTGAGACCAATCTCTCACCCTGCTGCCTGCTGTGCAAGAATGTCTAATACTCTACTCACCTTTAGTTTAGTGTGTTTTCTTTAAACATACCTGCACAATATCAAAACCTTCACAAGCGTCCTTGTCAATGAAACATTTGCAAACCTGTTACTACAGACATGATGACTTTTACTCATTGTATTTTGAATGATACATCCAAATACTCTAGTTATAATAGTTGCCAACTACAAAAGCCCCGATGTTTTATGTAGGTATGTTTTAAAGTACTTAGTACCTGATACAAAAAGAAGAAAATTGAGTGTTAGTTATTTAACACAAGAAAAAAATATATAATATACTCCACTGCTGGTAATCTAATATTTTCCATCAGTGTTGATTCCTACTACCATAGCAAGTTCTAGTTAGGTTTAGCAGATTGCTGGGTACAAGCACTGTCCAATGTGATTTTGTTTAATTTGGCTTTAGAAGTACCTAATCACCAAAGCCTACACAATCCCCCCAGTTTATCCCAGTTTTCTCTCTCTCTCTCTCTCTCTCTCTCTCTCTCTCTCTCTCTCTCTCTCTCTCTCTCTCTCTCTCTCTCTCTCTCGTTTTGGTTATTAACCCATTGCCGCCAGGGAAAATGAACAAAAAAGGGGGGAAATGCAGTGCCTATTTTCTATATTTTTTGTGAAATGTCTGCCCATAGATGGTTCTGTTAGTGCCTGATTTGAAATGGCAGGAAAAACATATTTTTCACTAGTGCCATGAATATCGATGGTGTTATAAACATTATAATTATTATAATGTTTTTTAACATTAGTAACAGCAAAATAAGATAACGTAAAATATTTCATAAATCAAAGAAAAGGGTGAACAAGCGAGACAGGCAGTACTCGTAACTGGCTCATTGGTGATTTAGTACAAGTGTAGCATTCTATGTGTAAAAACAATCAAACAAGTAATCCCACAGTGGGCATGACATGGCATGCCCGTCGGCAATGGGTTAATGTTGCTGTTCCTTATTATTATAACTTCATATTAGTACTAAACATAAAAACATCTTTCCTGAAATTTGGTACATAGGGTAAGTAGGTTAGGTCAGGTAAGCCAAATAGCTGACTCTGGTAACTAGCCACTTCTGAAGCCATCTTTGTGTAGGAAAATTTAATAAACAACAACAATGTGAACACACTGTATACTCTCAACATCAATGCAATGATAACTTGATAGTCAAGATAGTGAATCACTTTAGAGTATATAAAGTTTTACAGGAAAATTCTAAGGAATTCTTGAGTTATATGCAGGTAGGTGATTTTAACCCAATGCTGACAGGCATGGCATGTACATATATGCCATGCCCTCTGTGAGTTTACTTTATTAATTGTTTTTACTCATAGATGGCTACACTTGAAATAAGTCACCAATGAGCCAATTACCAGCACTGTCTGTCTGCCCGTTTACCCTTTTCTTTGATTTATGAAATATTTTGTTATTTTATTTTGCTATTACTAATGTTTATAACATTATAGTAATTATAATGTTTATAATAAAAATAACACCATCGCTATTCAAAGCACTAGTAAAAAATACATTTTCCCGCCAATCCAAGGGAGAGCAAGGGAGCACAGCAATTTCCCCAGCAGCAAGTGATTAATGAGCATTTTTCATATTGTGTAAATTAAATTATCTACTTAGCCCATTGGGTTAAGTAGCCAAGAGGCAGATGTCAGAAACGTCTCTTCATGGAAAAAAAAATATTGGACAAGGGTGGTTGATGGATGTGTCTTGTCAAGAGTGTTTCCAAGGATAAAATACTGTCCATGTGCAGAAGCCTATTCCTGCCCAACATTATGAGCAGTATAGGGTGTGTTACAAAAATTTATATAATACTAAAACATGAAAAATGGTGCAAATAACACAAGTGCTACTTATTGTTACTATTATTGCACAGAGTGTAAACTACCAGGAGGGCTAATATGGAATCTGCTCGATGAAAAAAAAACAAATGACAAATATAGAATTTAGAATGTGGCAAAACTGGAGGGGGGGAGAAGTTTTGCAAAGAGGATTAAAGGTCCTGAGAGAGTCACCACTTAAGGAAGCCTTATCTTCAGATTTTGGTCTACACACATGCTGCAAGGTACACAGATCCAGCAGGTTAAATATCTCTCTTTACTGATATAACATGTTCTGCTTTTTTTATACATAGGTCTGTAATTCATATGGTCTCATTTCATGTATAAGAGTGTTTACAATACTCTTGTATACTTGCCTGTACATATAATTTCAGAGGCAAGTGAAAACATTTATTTTATTGACTAGCATTTGTAGGCATTGTATAGACAAGAATAGATGAGCATACACATATATTGCATGCATTGCATTTTAAACAGATGTATGTGCTTGAGCTATCCATACATGAGAATGTGGATTTCTGAGGAAATGACAGTTCTTATTTATGAGTATCAATAAATAGTTTTGACATTTTTACTTATTTTTTATTTATTACTTTTACAGTGTCTCTGGAGCACATTACTAGATTGACACTAACACACAATCGCCTGACAAAAGTTCCTGCAGCCATCGCTAATCTAATCAACCTTGAAATCTTGAATCTCTTCAACAACATCATTGAGGAACTGCCAACATCCATCTCTTCCCTCAACAAACTCCGCATCCTTAATGTTGGGTAAGCCTGTGTGTTTGCATTGAGTAGATTCAGGAAAAGACTTTCGTATTTTGTGTTTAGATGTTGTTTTATAAGTGGCAGAATTTCTTTAGATTTTGTTTGTGTTAATAGATAGATAAACTTATTGATATAATTAATTTATTATATACGTATCATGTGAAGGCAGCACACATCATCAAAACAAATGGTAATCTTCCTGTGATAGGTATGCTTCCTTAGATTATGTACATATATTATTTTTCCTTTTTAATTTTTTTCAAAATTTTTCCCACCTCCCAGAATGAACCGATTAGATGAGTTGCCAAGAGGATTTGGCTCCTTCCCTGTCCTGGAGGTCCTGGACATCACCTACAATAATATTTCAGAGGGAGATTCACTGCCAGGCAATTTCTTCATGCTTGGTAAGTTAAAGACTGGGAGGACTTTCATAGTTCTTGTTTTTTATGTTCCTGTGTAAAGCAAAGAGAAATACATAGAGTCTAGTCAGAATGTTAAAGATGGAAAATTATTGGGACTCACAGTTCCTGCCTATTGCCATTAGGTCAATGTATATTTATTGGTTTAGATGGAAGGTTATCTTGACATGTAAATTTTACTTGCAGATCTTACCAAGTCATCTTATTGGAAATGTTGACAGAGGAATTAAAAATATTAATAGTATATACAGGTGCAGCTACTAATTATTTACTCTTTTCTTCATACCAGAGTCATTGAGGGCACTGTACATGGGCGATAATGATTTTGAGTACATTTCTCCCGAAATCAAGAATTTGAAGAACTTGCAGATTGTAAGTTTTATTATACCATATTTCTTGATATCTTTGGATTTTAATTTGTCTTTTGCAATTTATTGGAGATAAAAACTTTTATAACTCTATTTAACAATTCAATTGTGTTGCAACATTAGAGTGCATGTAGAAGGTAAGCTTGTTTCAACTCCGTCTCAATTATTCCCTACAGCTTTCCCTGCGAGACAATGACTTGATAGTGGTCCCCAGGGAAATTGGTGAGCTGACACGCCTAAGAGAGTTGCACCTTCAGGGAAATCGCTTGGAGGTTCTTCCTCCTGAAGTTGGTAAGAACCCTTCTATAATTCCTATTATGGAAAATATTAAAAGAAATAATATGTCAGTCACATATGTAGTCGAGCATATTTTGAACCACAGGATGTAAACAGGAATAATATTAATAGTTAATCCATTCGCGACGGGCATGTCACGTACGCATGCCATGCCCACTGTGAGTTTACTTGTGTAAATGTCTTAACACATAGATGGCTACACTTGTACTAGATCACCAATGAGCCAGTTACGAGTACTGCCTGTCTTGCCCATTTACTCTTTTATTTAATTTACAAAAATATCTTATGTTATCTTATCTTGCTATTACTAATGTTTATAGCATTATAGTAATTATAATGTTTATAATAAAAATAACACCATCGCTATTCATAGCACTAGTAAAAAAATACATTTTCCCACCAATCCAAGAAAAGGTGAAATCAGGTAAGGCAGAGCCATCTATATGTAGACATTTCACAAAAAAATATTAAAAAATTAACACAAAATTTTTCCCATTTTTTATTCATTTTCCCTCATGGCAGTGGGTTGAGTCAGGTTGTGTAGTTAGAGTAACCATTCATCATTTTAAAAGAATTTTCATATCCAGGTCAACTGGATCTGTTGGGCACAAGATCTTGTTTGCGTCTGGAAGGTAATCCTTGGGTGCCAATGATTGCTGATCAACTTCTCCTTGGACCTTCCCATGTGATGGATATGCTGCGCAATGAATCATACAAGTTGTGAGTGTTCATATGCAACTTATCATGGAACATTTTGATAAATTCAGTTCATCCTTAATAGCTAATGGATTATGTGAAGTATTTTCTCCACTGAGGTTTTCTGTTTTTTTTTTAGAAATTTATTTTTGTATAGTTTATTGTGCCTATCGTAAACCTATTCTTTTAAAAGGGGCCTGTTATTGAGCTTCTTTAATGTCTGTCCTTCCCATATATTTAAATGTATCTACATTACTTTTACAGTGTGTACCAGCGACACATTTCATCTGGAAGCCAGCCACCCCCAAAGAATTTTGAAGCCAAGAACAGGAAGATTTCAAGAAAGAGGGATGTTGCATAAGGTTTCCGTGCACAAATGGTGCTCATCCTGCAGTACCTTGGAGACTTTACTTTCTGAAATGGATCTTCATTTATGTTCCAGAGCTTTATAATGCCTTAATACATTTAGCTTTAACATTTTTATTTAATTTTTTTAAAAATATGCAATCAAAGTGTACATTGTACTGTTTTGATTTATGGAATGCATTGTGCCTAACCTGCCATTTTAGGGAAAACTTTCTCTTTTCTGTTCTAGATGATTTCAAGTATGTCATTCATGAAAAGTAGAGTATATACTTTGATCATTGAGGTTCATTATTGAATAGCTAACTATAAAGATGTAGCAAGGAACTTCACTACAAGAATATGTTGACATTATCCAAGAATGGCGACATTCTTTCAACAATAGAATAGTTTATGCAAATGTTCTAGATCCTTCTCTTTTATTAGGTTTGTTTGTACTAATTGAATATAGTCCATGTCTGGTTTATATCCCAGTCATGTAAAGCAGTCCTAGAAGTATTCAAGGAATGCTAAAGTGATGTCATTAACCAGTAATGTTTCTTAACTTGCTAAATTTATTATTGATATATGTTGTGTTTAAATGGTGCTTTCATCCTAAATGAATAATAAATTCATGAAATCATCAAAACCTTTGGAAAGTTGCATTTACTAGAACTTTTAGTGCCTTTTACATCTTGAAAAAAGAAAATTTGAAGTGCCTTTAGTAAAAGATGTTAGTGATGCAAGGAGACTCCATTCTGGAACCTCTTTTTATATTGTCTATAATTTGTTAATAATGTAAAATTTTCTTTAATCTTGTAATTCTTAAAATGTATCGGTGTCATTCATGTACAGATTTAAAGAACTTTTTGTTATGTAAACATTGAATTACATTTTTTTTTGTATGTCAAACTCTTTTCCATTATACTTTCAGTATTACCTGATAGTCCACAATATACAGCCTTATAACAGTATCATGTGGTATCAGAAATTACCACAGGTTAAACAGTTATACCAAATGTGTTCAAGATAGTCTTTAATAATCAGTTGTTGGTTTTACCTAATTATCTTGACTTAAATTGTATGCTCTCTCTATTTTTAAATATAGTTGTGAGAACGCACAAATGCATCAAGGATGTTTAAAATTAATTCAGTTATTAATCAAAAAGGTGCTTATTCTGCTTGCAAGAAATTTTCCTGGAAATTCTAATTGTTACATGGTGGTAATTGATATTTTATTGTAATCAGTGGTTGTGCAATGATATTAGAATAATTGAACTGCTTGTCAGAGGTGATACACCAGGTTTTACCATAAGACTACTGTCAAGATATTTTCCGATTTCATCAGTATTCATTAATTTGCTTTTATTGTTACATAATGTATTTTAATAATGCATAAAAAAAGTGCCAAAGTAAACTTAATAGAAAATATTTTTATTTCATTGTCCATTATTATTATTATTATTATCATTATTAATTCCCTCCCAATCATTTGCTTGTGGTGTTGTGGGGGGCTCAGGAGGTGGAGACAACGGCCCATTGTACGACATCACCCCTGCCTTGGACCTCATCCCATGCCTCAACTAATTTTGTGGGGTCTTTTCTTCTACCCCTTTCCTTTTCCTTCTTTTCATCCCCCTTCTTGTCCACTTATCCATATCATTTACTTATTTTTACCCTTTTCACCACATTACCTTGTCATAATGCTTTGATGGCTAGGGCATTCATTTGTTTTGACCAATGACCATTCTGGAAATCCACAAATTGCTTTACTGAACTGAAAAACTCCCTTACCTGGAGGCTTCACCCCAAGCCCTACCTTATTTTTAAACACCATTAATGACATGGCTGAAATTTTTCAATAAATATATTAATAACAGTTTAAAAGTATTTGCTAGTGTGAAAAAAAAAAAGAAAAAGAAAAAAAAAGAATAATGGCAGAGGAACAAACATTTTCCAGCGGTGATTTGTGGTAGACAAATATTGGCTGCCAGGGTTTGCCAAAGGTCATCCATTCATACCGGGCAGCAACTAGTTGAGCTACCAGGCAGACAGTCCTATCTGGTTGTTTTGCTTGACCACAGGTCCCCCCCAATCCCTTGGTCGTTGTTGTGGGGGGGCTTAGGAGTAGGAGACTGGGACCCAGTGCTGGGGAACTCCCCTGTCCTGGGACTCGGCCCTCGACTCGACTAATTTTGCATGGTATTTTTTTCCCCTCCTTTTCGTTTCTGTCCCTTCCCCAACTCCTCCTACTATGTGATAGAGGATCAGGGATGGTTAATGGTTAAAAGCAAGATAAATGTGCTAGACATCTAAGGTCATGTAGCACTATAGTTAATGTTAGTGAAGGGTGGTTGAGTTAGTGATTAGTTGTCTAAGCTGGGCAAAGGAATTAGTGAGTGAAAGGGTTAAGGTCGGGTGTTATATTAGATAAAGGGTATGCATAAGAAAGGTTTCTTGAAGGCATACAATAGATGGGTTATAAGAGGAAAGGATATGATGGTCAGGTCTGTGGGAGCGGAAACCGCGAATATTCCAATGAAGGATAGTTATACTTTCATTGATTTAGTGATATAGATTGTAGTACGTGTTGGAGAATTTGAAGGGGAAGTAGCTAGAGGGTGGGATAAGGACTGAGAGGTTTGAGATGGGAGAGGTGTGGGAGTTGGTGTTCTATCAGGAGGGGTATTAGGAGATGGAGGGTCTGAGGAAGGGGATACTTGTGACATAAGGGATTCACGTGTGTATCCAGGAGGGAGTGGAAGGGATAGAGGGGATGGTGGGAGAGTTAATGTGGGCAGGGTTGGGGTCAGGGGGAATGGGCTGTGTTGGGAGCGGGTAGGAGGGTAGGGTGTAGGGGGGACTGATGTTGCATCGTAGTCTGTGAGACAGGCAAGTAGATCTTCTCCACAATCTGACCATTCTTTGTCATAGATTGGGCAATTTGCTGGGGAGATTGAGACTGTTCCGGTGCAAGTATTGAGGGTTGGATGGGGTTCTGCTAGGATGGGGTTACCATATAGGTCAGTTAGTTTTGTTAGTGCTATGGCTTGGTTTTCGGATGTTACTGTTACAAGACGGGAGCGGTCGGGTCGGCTACGGAAAGAGACTTTACCTACTTGTTTTTGGAGGCATTGTTGGAAGAGAAGGGTGTTGTTAGAGTAGGGAGCTGTGGGAGGGATCACGAAAAATCGGTCCCATTTGGCTCCACTGAAGAGAGTATTCAAGATTGTTTTAGAGATAGGGGTGGTAGAAGGGCGAGGGCGTGACGAAGATGGAGTAGTGTTGATGGAGGTAGTGTTATGGAGAGGTGGGCTATAAGGCTGTAAGGTATTAATAAGGGAGGATGGGGTGGTTGATGTTGGAGGTTGTGGGGGTAGAGGTGTTGAAGTTGGGCATGCTGGGAGAGTGGAAATGTCCTTTGTGGGTTGATTGTTGGCTACTGTACTAGTAGGCATTGGTGAAGGGGTAGTTATTGCAGTGTTTGGAGCCGTGGTCAAAGGAGAGCCTGGGGTCGGGGAATCGGGTGGGTTTACTTCGTTGGGGCTATTTGATAAAGGGGCAAGCCTCATTGCCCCTAACAGTGGTGATATATTTTCATTACTGGCCATGGGAAGCCTGGATTATGTTGGGGATAAAAGCAGTCCACCCCTCAGGGTCCCCTTGAGGGGTAAGGGCTAGATAACTAAATCAGGGGAATACCGTGCCCATGGCTCCCTCAGGCCGTTCAGGACTGGCACAAAGTCAGCCTTTCATCCTTTCAGCACGGCTCTCACACCTTAGGAGGTGGATAGCAGAAGGGTTTGGTGAAGGGACAGAAACAAAAGTGGGAAGGGAAAAAAAGACCATGCATAATTAGTTGAGTCGAGGGCTGAGTCCCAAGGTTGGGGAGTTCCCCATCATTGGGTCCCAGTCTCCGCCTCCTAAGCCCCCCCACGACAACAACGGGCAAGGGATTGGGGGGGAGAGGATCAGGGAAAGGTAAAATATCAGGAATGTCAAGAGGGGAAGGATCCAGAGGACACTTTTGACAGAAGGGTCATAGGAGCATTCATGAGGGATCAGAAGGGATAATAGGGAAAGGAGGACAGATTGGAGGGTGGATAAGGTAGGACCATTCTCTTGGGTCATGTTTAGGAAGTTTGGGAAGTCAAGATGTCCAAGGAGTAGAGGAAGAGGTAGGTGTAGAAGAGAATGTGGTAGAAGATGGGGTGAAATGTTCAAATTGCCAGTGCAACAAGTAAAATGGGAAGTGGTAGAGACTTGAGTATCTGGATTTAAATGGCAAAAGAATTTGACTTGAAGTGAAGGACTAGAGGTAGGATGGTAAGGGGTAGGGGGAGGGGGAGATCCAGGGGTAGATGCTGAGATATCTTGGGAAGTAACCTATTTATTTTTTATTTCTGCCACACTGACATTAAGGTTATTAGCAGCATATACAAAACATTGTGATAGGGTGGGGATTGGGGGCTAAAGTTTTTGATTTAGTAAGGAATGTTTGTGGATTTCCAGAATGGTCAATGGCCAAAATAAACAAATGTACCATGCATCAAAGATTACATAGCATTACAGTCAAGTACTGTGGCAAAAAGGGTAAATATGAGTTCACAATTTGGATAAGTGGATAGAAGGGGATGAAGAAGAGAAGAAAAAGGATAGACCTTGCAAAATTAGTTGAGGCAAGGGCCAAGGTTCAAGGCAGGGGTGATCCCTATATATATATGGCACCTGTCTCTGACTCCTACCCCCCCCCCCCTGCCACAGTAACATTGAAGAAGGGATGGGGGGGGGTCTTGAGAAGGAGTGTGAGAAGTGGAGGAAAGATTAGCTTTGGAAAAGGTAGAAAGAGAAGAATCTTGTTGACATATTTC